TCGTGAGCACAGTTTTAGCTGCAGTACAGCGTTTTAACCACTGCGCCACGAGGCACTCTTTACTTAACAACCTACCAATTGGATTTATGACCCTTTTACGACTGTAAATCCATGCTTGCGTCTTCACTATACCCCTTCTCAACAGCACGTGATTTATTACTCCTTTACACACTAGTCATAAGAATGGAACTTGGTTGTTAAGTGAGGAGTGCCTGCATTATCATCATCACCATTATCATCATTATTACAGAACTGTTCACATGACATAACTGAGCACCTTTGCATTTAATTATCATTCCATGTCTATTCAAAAGTAAGGAGGTAATTACAGAGACAGGCAAACTAGAAGCAATGGTCAACTTGCAAGTCCTGGTTATGTAAGAAGCCAACATGCATTTGTATTGCTATGAGTTGAAGAGAGAAAGAGGGATCCAATGCTCTGCAGAAGCCCTCAGCAGAAGAATATATTTCACATAATTGGCAGAAGCAAAGGTTAGGAATAGTCCTTGACTGCAAGAGGGAAATTCTTGTCTTATGGGAGCTTCTGAGTGTTGTAGTACAAGATTCTCTCACATCTGAGATCACACACATTAGCTTGCTTTGCTTGGTGATTGGTCTTCTGGATTTAAGCATAGGATTCCTTTGAAGTCTGATTTCACAAACAGGAAAAAGCTAACTCGATCACCTTTGTGTAGCATTAAACACAACTACTGGCTTATCTCTAGCATCTGTTTCTGGCCTCATTTTGTACAGGTATTGCAAAATTCAGTGTTTGAGCTGCAGAGTTGTCAGCACATAATGTGGTTGCCTTGGTATAGAATTGTACTCATGTGTTAGCATTTATTTATTTACTCATTAATATAAATATTACTAAAACACAGTGTGTACCTGAGCTTAAATGTCCATCCTGTGTTTAGTCTGTTGCATCGCAGTCTGGGTCACCCTGACTTGGCTGATTATATGCGAGGCTGCTCTAATTAACCTCTTTAGAAAGCTGACTATTCACATGAGATGTGCAGCTGCTGTGCTTGCCCAGAGTGGTTTGGGAATGATGCATCAACACAAACTGAAAATTTGGAATCTTTATATGTTAGATGACTACGGAAACAATGGACTACTTTGTGCTTGTACGAAAAACACACACACACACACACACACACACACACACACAACCGAGAAAGGGCTGGGATGTAAACTGCAACCACCCTGGGGCAGTCCCAGAGGTCCTTATGACTCAGGCACTTCTGAGTCATCCCTTGTGCTCCATCACCCCTCCCCCAAGGTTTCTAACAATACTGACATGACTTGAAGGCTCCTTGCACTGCATCTTAAAACAGTCTTTTGTCCACTTTCTTGCCACGCTCTAAAAGCATCCATGTTTGTTTCATGTTACCTGGAGCCAACTACTAAATAGGGATTGTTGACTTGATTTCCGGAGGAACCCAAGTACCTTAAATATATTTTAGTCAGTGTTAGGCTAATACTTTTATAAGACCAACCTTTTAAAAGAAAGAAAGAAAGGCACCAAGTTGTATGCAAGCTTCCAAAGTCACTACACTAGCAAAAGCAAAGTATGCTGCTTGTATACTACCCACAGTACTTAAACAACTCTCTAAGCAGTTTACAGTTTAGTTATGCAAAGTACTCATTGCCCCCCCCCCCAAATTACCTGGCTACTCAGTTACTCAATTTACTGACCTCAGAAGGATAGAAGGCTGAGTGAACCTCAAGCTGGCTGTTTGGGGTTGAACTCGTGTTATGAGCAGAGTTTTGGCTGCAGTATTGCAATTTAATCACTGTGCCACAAGGCTCCTTGAGAAGAGTAATGCATGGTTGGGGTGGGGTCTCAGACAATTGTTGATACGCTTCTGCTGTAGTATTGAAAGATAACAGCCAAGGCTCCAGATATTATCAATTCAGTATTCTATTTTGTTTAATATTGTAGTAGTATACTTTATTACCGTCAAAGACCAGTAAAAACAAATCAACATAAAATAGATACATATAATTATTGTTTCATAAAGTCGAGCAGGGTAATAAAATTCCACTAAAACATGATAAAACAACCCCTTCTTATCAATTAATAACATCATATATCCTTAATATTGGTAAAAGAGTATTATATTTTGTTTAATATTTATGTTATATGTCTCTACTCAGAAGGAAGCCCAGTAAAATTCAGTGGAGCTTACTCCTAACAAAGTGGGTATGGGATATCAACCTATATCTTTTTTTTAATTTAATTTTATTTAGATTTATACCCCACCCCTCTAGACAAAGTCTACTCGGGGCGGCTTACAAAAAATGATAAAATACAATAGAATAATATAGTTATTAAAACTTAATAATACAAGCAACTAACTAGTGGATATATCTAAATGGACGTATAATTTCAATTATTTTGGAATCAGTGAAGACAAATAGAAAATGCTGAACGTAGGCCTAGGAGTTTTTAGATGAATCTGTGCCATAAATTGATCCTTTATAATAATACTTAGAGCGGGATCCTTTTGGGTTCTACTGAAGATGGAACCAAAGCTATGGCTGTAACTCTTTGGCTGTAACTCACCAAACAGCTGTGCCTAATTTGCTTAATATAAATCTTTTCCCCTTAAGGGAGCACTTCTTCTAATAGTGGGTTAACTGCATTGTTTGGTTTGGCGCTTAATTATGGTTTTAGTTCTGCATGAGGAAAACCAAGAGGATACTTAATAATTGTGTGCCATCACGTTTGTTCTGACTTATGGTGTCCCCTTTCAGGGTTTTCTAGGCAGAGAGTACTCAGAAGTGGTTTACTATTCCTTTCTTCTGAGGATCTCCTGGGACTTTGCAACTTGCTCAGGCTGGCATTTCTGGGATGCATGCTAGGGTATTGAACTCCCAGCCTCTTGCTCTGCAGCCAGATACCTAACTCACTGAACTATCCCGCCAGCCAACAGGATACTCGCCTAACCAATTCACTTGCTTTTTAATTCTAGGTTGCTTATTTGCTTAACCTTGAAATGTAAATTCTTTTTTCTATAGCATGTGGTATTATAATTCACCATGTGATAATTCTGCCCATACATGTTGTTGCCTTTTTGGATCAGATCACATTTTAAGGCAAACACACAGAAAATGATCTCTCCAGGCTTGCATATATTTCGGTACTAAATAGCAGACATACAAAACCGTGCTATCTCCTAACTGTTCAATTACAAAATAAAAGTGGGCTACTTTGCCTAACACAGATCTTTTCCCCTTAAGGGACCACTCTTTCTAATGATGAGTAACTACACTGTCTAGTTTAGCTCTTAGTTATGGTAGAGCTTATTATAGTGTTATCAAACAAAATATGCAATCAGGCATTATCTATATGTACAGTATTCTCAAAGGCTTTCACGGCCGGGATCCGTGGTTGCTGTAGGTTTTTCAGGCTGTTTGGCCGCATTCTGGGGTTTTTCTTCCTAACATTTTGCCAGTCTCTGTGGCTGGCATCTTCAGAGGACAGGAGTTAGACCTCTGTCTGTGTTCTGGTGTAGTGTGTGGGACAGTTGAGTGTTTGTAGCTGTGTGATTAGCTTTTTGTCCTTTTCAGGAGATTGGGTGATTATGGTGATCAGGGTGTTTTTTTTTGTTATGGGTGTATTGTTGTGATAAGGGGGGGAAGATCTGTCACTGTGATTGATGGGTGTTGTTAGCTAGTCTTTTGTGTGCAGTAATCAGAACACAGAGTTCTAACTCCTGTCCTCTGAAGATGCCGGCCACGGTGACTGATGAAACGTTAGGAAGAAAACCTCCAGAGCATGGCAAATAGCCGAAAACACCCACAACAACCATAATCTACTGTATATGATTGTTTTCATACTTTAATTTGTCATCTGCTTTATAGTCACTGAACAGAAGGAAAAACAAAGGAAATCTATAATTAGTTCAATGATATTTATACATTCCCTTTCTAATAGCCACTTGATGTATGTTATTTAGGAAAAGGAATGGCCTGCACTGGTGTGAAAAAGGACCAAAAGATTTGAATGATGCACAACCTAAATAGGAGACCCTTTTTTGAAGGCATGTAGTTTTCTTGGGAGAACTAAGTATGGAAGAAGTGATTTTCCATTCCATTCAGTGCTAAGCCAGCTTCACATGTGTGTACCTGGAAGCAATCCAAGGAAGTTTAAACATGCTTCAAATGCCAATGAATTGCAGTGTGAATTTTGCACTGCCTCTAATATGCTGACAGAGTAAAGAGGAAGGAAAGAAGTTTGTGTAAGGTTTTAAAAGTAACAAGGAAGGGTTGAAGGAACTAGGAAAGTTTTAGCTCACGGAAGAGGCTTAAGTTTGTGGGAACAGGATAGCATTTTGAAAATCTATTAAAGGCATCTTGAGCAGGATGCTTATCAATTGTTTTTCCTCTTTGCCAGTCGAAAGTGGGCCAAGGTGTGATGGACTCATACCAGTGGGAAGAACTGAGACTTAGTTGAAAGTTGAAAGAAAGCAGAAGTGTTTGTTACTGAAAGTATGGCACTGGAGTCTTAAAATAATTCTGAGAGCCTCTTTGTTGCTACTTCTCAGAAGCCAAATGCCTACATATTTATAGGTAATCTATGTTGTTGTGTTAGTGCATTCATATGTAATGTAGTGGCTGAAAACTTAGTAGAACAATCCTGTGTGTGTTTTTAATAAGTTGAGTCCTGTTGTGTTCAGTGGGACATCCTTCCAGATAAATGAACAGATAAATAGCTGACTGCAGAAGTCTCTGTTTTGAATCTCATCTTGTAAGAAACTCATACAGGGGCCCTAGGAATGTCACTATCTGCCTCAAACTCCCATCTGCAGTGTGGGGAAGAATAACTATATACCTTTCTAGAGAGTTGAAAGAATTGTAACAAGACAATCTCTGCAAAGTATTATGCATACTTGAATGTCAAATAGGAGATGGAACATGAAGGCTTTCTCCACATGTGTCATTCATACATTCTGGAACACAGTTTTCATGTATGACTTGTTTTTTTTTTCCAGATGGGCAACAGATTTGGGAAATGGAAGCTACAGTAGACAAAGACAAGAGCCAACCTGTAAGTTGCACCAATGCATCTTCTTTCCCTTCTCCTTTAGACATCAAGAATCAGTGGCAAAAAGACATCCTAAACAGAAAAGTTGCAAAACTGAATGCATTTTAAAGCTCATTAATCGTACCTAGAAAACTCTAGAAAAGAAGTGTTCCCCTGAGGGGAAAAGTCTCCATCCTTGCTATAAACATACAACTGTTGAGTAGCTGGATGTATGTACGTATTTAAAAGATAGTGTTCTGTTCCTTTAAACTGTGCTTCTGTTGGGAAGGTATTAGAAATTCGGAAAATACATGCTGAGGCAGGATGGTTCTTTGAGGTGAAGACTATTGATTTGGTAGACCAGCAAGTTTCCCATTTTGGGGCAAGATGAATTGCAGTGGAAAAACAATATTTGTGGTTTATAAGCTGAGGTGACAGATCAGAATTGAATGTTCTGATATTGTTTATTGTGTCTCCCCACACCCACTTTTAATTGTTTTTAGAATATGCTTTTTGTTGAAATACCAGAATATCGTAACAAGCACATCCGTACGCCTGTCAAGGTGAATTTCTATGTGATCAATGGAAAAAGGAAAAAAAGCCAACCACAACGTTTTACCTATCACCCAGGTAATTCTTTATGGTTAGGAGTTTGTGGTGCAGTATTTTGGAAAGAGGCTGTTCAGTATTTATGAAGTAGACTTATTTGATATTTTCTTAAAATATGTATCTTGCTTAACCATTACCATCAAGTACTTTTGGCCAGCACTACAATGAAAGCTGCTAAAATGATCTCTACAATAATAAATCCTAATAGCAAATATTGAAAAATGGATCCATACCCTCTTAATTCTCCATCTACACTAGTGCGATACAGTTTTTTCTTTCTTTATTCTTTCTTAGACAACAATAACATCTGCTACAGATTTCCATTTTTACTTGGCACGGCATTTAGATTACCTTGATATGGACCTAAGATATAGCTAATTAATAAAACCATTTCATAGATAAGGAACTGGTGTTTAGGCTATGGCTTCTCACAGGCCACTCTTCTAGTGAGTTTATGGATTACGAGGCACAGCATAAACTCTTTTGGACTCAGGGAAGATTCAGTGGTATATACAAGTGAATATTGTGCACATACATATGTCTTTGGAAATAATTTATGCAACTAATCTAACATAAGGAGAGAGGTTGCTGGCATGGATGTTAAAGCAGTTTTTCCTGCAAGGCCTGTTTCATGCATCTTGCTCAGACATCTTACAAGCTCAGTGTTGCTATCACATTGTTTGATGTTATCTTTGATATGTTTGAATAATCCTTTCAAGCTAGAGTACCACTGAGGGTTCCTTCAGGTCCATTCAGTGGGAGTTGGTTCACATCCATGTTCCTCTTCTAGTCATTGATTACTGCAAACAAGTACTACATAGATCACATATGACAACTGAATGTGTGAGCTGACTCCACTGAGAATAATTGTGTTCAAGATGCTGGGAGATGATATGTGAATTCTATCTGGAGTATTAGATCTGTGGTGATGTTTTCACACATTCAAGCCATTGCTTGGCATTGAAATGAACATGCAGAAGTGAACTAAGCCTAGAACTCTGGAGACAATTGCACGCACTGTATCTGTTCTTTCCAGTTCCTCCCTCCTTCTCTTAACTGTTTGATAGCTGCTTAGAATAATGTCCTTTGTGCACTTTGTTCCAGTGCCTTCCATCAAAACAGAGCCCATTGATGATTATGATCCAGCTTTAATCTGCAATACAGTACACAGTGGTATGAGAACAGTAACACAGCCTTATTATTCACACCATACAATGGTCTCTGAGGCTCCTTCCTGTCTTGTGGCCACAATGGCTTCCTGCCAGCAGTTGCGTTCAAGTTTGTCTTCTCCTGAATCTCAGTATCCTCAACAAAACTCGGGTGCTGTAATATATCAAAGAAGCAAGAGTCTGAGTCCCAGCCACCTGGGCTACCAGCAAGCCAGCTTGATGGCTACACAAGTATCCATTCCAGATGTTCACAGGTCAGTGCTGGTACGCACAGGATCCCCCAGCCAAAGCTCAACTGTGCTCCATCATTCTCCAACCAATCAGCAGTCCTCCCCTGTGATTCACTGCTCTCCTACAAACAGTCAACAACTGAGGTGTGAAAGTCATCAAGAATTTCAGCACATCATGTGTAGTGAAAATTTCACATCCAGTGGAGTGAGATCCAGCCAACCTCAGGTCAGCCAAGCCCAAAGATTAAGTCCAAGTTCATACCCTACTGTGATTCAGCAGCAGAGAACAGTCAAAAATGGACCACCAGTAAATGATCAGAAGGAAGCAGTGCCAGCAGGAGTCACTGTTAAACAGGAACAGAATCTTGACCAAGCCTATTTGGATGATGGTAAGTACCATTTAAAAAAATATCCTATTCGTTTAGTCTTTTATCACCACAAGACTTTTTTCCCCACTGGCTACAAATCTTTGGTTTAGAAAATACAGTGGCCACATTAGTGTAATATCTTACACTAAAACCGAATTCTAGAGTATGTTGGCTTGTTGAGGGCTGAATCTGCTGGTGCTCACTGCCCAAACTCCCTTTTTTTTGTTCTTGCCCTAGCAAGGGGAGTGGCTTCAGAAACTCACCAATAAGAAAAAGCTCAGTGTTCTGAATGAGATTCTTGCCTTATCATTCTGACACAAGACGGGAGTCATAAGCCAAATCGACTTCCTGACTAATTCAGACTCTGGCTTGTTAGGGCAGGAGCATAGCAGCAGTCCAAATCCAAGCGTACCATTAAGGTTTCCGTTCCTGCCAATGATTTTCTGCTTACTGATGTCCCTCTCCTTGGTAGGAGGAGCTGCGATTTGGTCATGCAGGCACATGCTCATGGTCAATAAGCAAAGTTGCTCCAGAATTCTTTAGTATTATGTTGTGCAAGCATAGCCACTATGTATTGTTTGTGTATTTGCGTATATTTCTATACAAAACTTTTTATAGAATGTTGAAAAATTTTAAGGACTTGAAGAAAAATAGTTTACCCAGTATTCTGCAGAATGCTTACCTTTTTCATCAGATATTTTTAATTTATGAAGCATTTTTTGCACATTTCACCATAAAAGATATGAATTATGGGGACAGAGGAGTGAAATTAGGACACTGACACTAGCAGCTTTATAAACAATTAAAAGTATACGCATAGATAGTGCATCTGTAAACGTTTTTGTACCTGTATCTTTAAAAATTCTGAAAAAGCTCACTAAATGTTCTGTAGAACGTACAGTGATCTATACTATTCAGGACACTTTAAGACGTACTAGAGTGTGTCAATTTAATGGAAGCATCATTTCTTTATTGTGAATGTGGATATGACTACATGTGGAACAGACAGAAAATATTTGAACATATTCCACATTATTTGCTAGCTTCATTCAGCTTGTTTCAAGTTATAGTCCTGTTTCTTGTGGTACAGTACATGATTCCAGCCAGGGAAGCCAGAGCATTTCCAAGGAACAGCCATGTTAATCTTGTTTTAGCAAAAAACAACTGAGTGTCTGGGTGGTAATAAGTAATGGGTCTTATTTGGTGTACGGTTTTGTGGACTGCAGTCTGCTTCATCAGATACATCCATTTCACTTCTACTAGGTACCCCAAGTCTTTTGTATGAAACTGGAATGATAGTGTGATTGTATCATACTATTGAAATGCCTGCCATTATAATGGGAGGAGCTCACAAGGTACATTAGTTTAGGTGCATGGTGAGGAACATGTTTTTCCCTCACAGCAACAATATTTTCAAGTAGAAGCATTTACTTAGCCTCGTAGTTTAGGTGCATGGTGAGGAACATGTTTTCCCCTCACAGGAACAAATGACATTAACTCATCCATATGAGAAGAGATGATGATAAGTACTTGCAAAAAAATAAAATAAAAATGCAAATGACATTAACTCATCCATATGAGAAGTGATGATGATAAGTACTTGCAAAAATAAAATAAAAATCATTGGGCTATTCATGCAATTTGCTTCTCCTTATATCTTTAATTGTTTAATTGAATTCTATAGTCTTTAAGGGCAGTCATTCAGGACAAGGCAAAGTAGCAGGTAGCCATGTTGCTCTGACAGAAGAATTGCGCCTAGGCATGTGATAGCGTATGTAAAATAAAAACTAGTTAGCTTTATGGCTGCTACATTACTGTTTCTACTATTAATAATTACTCAGGATGTAACTTCCCAGTTTTGAAACCCATTGGTCGTCTGTTGTATTTTCCCAGGAGCTGCAAAAGTTTTGTTGTTATTGCTGTTTATTATCCCTCCTTGAGTGGATTTCTATTAGCTAAGTCTTGGAAGAGCTAGCTTGCAGGCATAGATTGTAGAACCCTGTAGCCCTGTCACTGAGGGGAATGACACTTCCCAATGTTGTTGTTGTTGTTCTTGTTGTTGTTTTCCCCTTTCCTGATTTTCAGTCAGCTCAAAAATATTCAGAGTGATTGAACTGTAGAATTATTGAGCTGCCTTGCTGGTCCCAATACGAATTGTCTGAATTATTCTGCAGGTACATCTATTCAGGATTTGGAGAGTGTCTGAGTAGTATTACCGTATAATGACCTTTTTTAATTGATGAGAGGGCAAAGGCAACTAAGTAAACACATACCAGAGATACCAACCAAGGAGTGAAATACAGATTGGTATGCTTGCCAATCATGCTGCTGAGAAATTTGTACGGCAAGCAGAAAACCTTTTCATCCTTGACTACTTTTTACTCTGTGCCCTTTCTATTCTTCATTAGGTTTGGCTTTCATCTTCCTTTTGCTCTGTCTTCATCATCCTAGGAGTATAAGATATGAAACTGTTACTGGCAGTTTATGGTCCAAGCAGGGAGTCACCTGTCATTTCAGGATTGGCACTCTGTCCTGCTTCTGGATCTAAACTGCCAATAGGTGTAAAAAGGTAAAGGTAAAGGTTCCCCTTGACATTTAGTCCAGTCGTGTCCAACTCTAGGGTGCGGTGCTCATCCCCAAGCTGTAGAGTCAGCATTTGTCCGTAGACGTTTTCCATGGTTACATGGCCAGCACAACTAGACATGGAACGCCATTACCTTCTCACCGTGTTGGCACCTATATATCTACTCGCATTTTTACATGCTTTCGAACTGCTAGGTTGGCAGGATCTGGGACAAGCGACGGGAGCTCACTCCGTCACGTGGATTCAGTCTTACGACTGCTTGGTCTTCTGACCTTGCAGCACAGAGACTTCTGCGGTTTAACCCACAGCGCCACCACATCCCACTGCCAATAGGTGTAACAGAAGAATAAAAACAGTGCTAAGACTTCAAGGAGCAAAATAGCATGTAATCTGGACAGGCCAGATTTGCCACTCTCATCAGTGCAACAAGGAATATCTAAACTGAGATTAACAGTCCAAGATCAGTAACAAGCAGAGATAAGAGTACAGGGGATGGGGGGGACACAAGAGACATTTCAGGGAATATCCATGTTGGACTTCAGCAGCAAATGTTTTTGATTTTGAACAATTTGCTTAAACTGTGGCTTGAGAAAACCATAAAAGAGGGAATACACATACCATAGGAGGGACAGTCAAGCCTTAAAGCTCTCGTAGTCCCAAAGCTGTGGATTGGCTATGATATCTAAACTGTATCTCTATGGAAAATATTCACTGACATTTTGAAAACCAATAGAAGATGGGGTGCAGGATACATACTATGGTCTGTGATTCTTCCCATCCTTCTTCTTTGGAGAAACAAAGCTGTTTGCTTTTCTCCTGACTATGGTCTCAGCTGTTCTGTCTTGTCATCATGAGATAGGAAATCAGATTGCTAAAAGGATGGGAATAGCCACTGCTCAGAATATCTTCCTTTTTCCTTCACTGCAAAATGTTAATGTAGGGTTTTTATTTAAAAAAAAAAATTCACGACAAGGGCTGAGCTTTGATGATAGGACAGGAAATGTGAAGTTTTTCTTCTGCTTTCCCTTGAACTTTCAGGTTGAGTGAATTTGTGTGCTTCTAAAAGCCTATGGCTTGATTAGAGAAATGATAAATTACAACTGGAATGACTTTTTGCATCACCCCTGGGCCACCTTTCTTGCAATCAATGTGGTGTGCAGAGGTGAAGTTAATCAGAAGATTTCCAGTTCTGTTCATGACTAAGTATCAGCTACAACATTCTCTTTGTTGCAAGTCTCTGGGCTCATCTGTGTATGTAAATTTGTATGAGTTACTATCAACGGATGAGCTAAAATAGTGATTTCAACCAAATATTTATGAAATTAACCACTAATTTGCAGAGAAAGTTTCCTGAATTGGCCTGTCTCCCACCTTTGTTTTTTGTTTAATTGTTTCAATAATTTGTCTGCATGTTTACTCACCAGTAAATCCCACTGGGCTGATAAAGCTTGTTTCTTATTGTTCATACGTAAGACTGCACTATTCATCTAACCTTCTCTCCCCTGCCCATTATCTACGGGCCTTTTTGCAAGTTATAGAAAAACAAGTTAAAATGTTTTTCCTGGAAGGTCTAGTTTTTTTAAAGTTTGTGTAGAACTTGATGTAGTGACTTTATAGCTTCAACAAAAACTGTTTCAGTCATTGTTCTTTTTGCGGGGGAGGGATATTCAACATTGCATTGCATTGGCTATATTACCTGGAGTATCAGAAGCAGTATGCCTCTCAAGACCAGAAGCTCCATCATCATCATCATCATCATCATCATCATCATCATCATCATCATCATCATCATCATCATCATCATCATCATCATCATCATCATCATCATT